TTTACACATCTGGAATTTTCTATAAACATTATACATTTCAACTGCCATTGCTTTTGTACCTTGTCTACATTATTTTTCTTTTGTGATTTTCCTTTATTTCCAAAGGAAATAGGAATAGCATGCATGCGGTTACTTTCAAAATTTTTCTGGAATATTATATTTAAAATTTTCATTTAAATGTATAAAATTTCATTTAAAAGAAATCATAATTATTTAGATTTGTATAAAGATATTTTAATAACATAATTAATATTTTAGAACAATTTAGAAAAATTACGGGATTATGCTGCCAATACATTTGCAGAAGATTTTGGATACAAAGAATATTACTCAATACCAGTCATGGAATTTCATGGGAAAAGGTAAGGAACTTTCAGTAATTATTCACACTAGCCACATATTATTGAATGTTAGCAGAGAACTTGAAACAAGACCATGTCAAAATACAGCAGCTTACACCTTTGCATGGAGATCCTAGAAGCTACTCAAAACCATAGGATGGAGACACTAGAACAATAATGGCCTGATGAATGACGTATTCACTCCACAAATTATGTATTAAACGCTATAGTTCTTACTTCATGCACATTGACACCTTCTGCATAATAATCCTTAGAGTTGAAAATGAGTTATTATGAGTAACACAATGGTTAAGTCATGCTGGAGATGGGGATTAAATCATGTGAGGCAACTGAGACCAACAGACTCAGCACACACCACTTTCTTTCCATAAGGAATATGGTGAATACGGTTTAAAGTCCTCTTCTTCCAAGCCTTGGTGTGCCTGTCATTTTTTTGAAGCAGTACGTTTCCTCCAAGCAGTATTGCTAGCATCTTTTATATGTTGTATTCTTGTATTTTCACATCTTAAAACACTGAATTTTGGAAATATGGAATATGGAGAGGAAATATTTGGAGTAGAGGTAGATATTTAAAGCATATAAGAAGGTTTACTTTATTTGTTTGTTTGTTTGTTTTGAAGGGATGGAAGAGGTTAAGAGGATAGGACCAAGTCTGGAACTCGAGAACAGTGACTTCTAGCCGGGGATTTAGCTCAGTGGTTCCACTGCCTGCCTCACAAGCGCAAGGACCTGAGTTCGATCCCCGGTACCAAAAAAAAAAAAAAAGGAATAGTGACTTCTGGAGAGGGTAGGGAGAGGTAGAGAGAGGAGAAAGGGATCAAAGGAGACTGAGAGGGAATGATACAGGATGGGAGAATATAGCCTGTAAGGTAAATATGGAAAATTTTAAGAACATAAAAATAGATTGAAGAGCTCCCTCTAAATATGACGGCTAT